AAAGAGCTAATTATCACTCACAAACCAAGAACCACAAGAGATAATTATCATTCCCATCACTCTCAAAAACTAAGATCCACAAGAGCCAATTATCATCCCTACAAATCAAGAGCTAATTAGCACTCTTGCAAATCGAGGCCAACAGAAGCTAATTATCATCCCTGCAAATCAAGAGCTAATTATCACTCCACAAATCGAGGCCAAAAGGAGCTAATTATCATCCCTGCAAATCAAGAGCTAATTATCACTCCCACAAATCATAAGCTAATTTTCACTCTAGCAAATCAAGACCCACAAGAGCTAATTATCATCCCCGACAAATCAAGAGCTACATTTGTAATTATCACTCCCACAAATCAAGAGCTAATTTTCACTCTAGCAAATCAAGACCCACAAGAACTAATTATCATCCCCCACAAATCAAGAGCTAATTATCACTCCTATAAATTAAGAACTAATTATCACTCCCACAAATCAAGAGCTAATTATCACTCACACAAATCAAGAGGAGTTGTTGACATTAATAGCATGGCTTGTTTAATCACTCTCTTCATGTATTCTTATTATTCCATTTTTCACAAAAGTTTTCTATGTGGCTGATTTGGGTGGTAAAATGAATTCAGCAAAATACTTGTTTTTTGTGTGTGTGTCATTTTGCTATTTGGCAACCGCACAGCATACATTGGCTATTTACAATACTGTGCGTATTAGAAAGTCATACGTTAAAGTTTGTTGATTGAGTGTCAACTCATCAGACCTCCTTGAACTTCCCAGAATTCATTGCAATTGTACAGGATAATGATGAAGTAAACTAACCTTGCGCCATACACTGCACTCGTAAAATCTACTATCAGTTCATCTGGTACTCTGCAAATGAAACAATGGGCGATTATATGGAAGGTAAAAACAAATCTAACTACTCGGTACATAAAATTGGTAGTTTAGTTCACAATTATGAATATCGCAAATTCATTCAATACTTGTGCTGTGAACAAAAACTCGTAATAAACTTGTGAGACCCTCCAAGATTCTATTACATGCTTATCATGTTAAGCATGTGATAATATAGTCACATGATTACAATTACAATAACGCTTCAAATAAAAACATTTGAAATTTTCTGTTATATTGCTACATTCTGTTATAAAGCTTCATTCTTACTTGATTTCTTTCAAATCTTCTTTGAAAATCTGGAATGAAAGTAGAATTAACGTTGTAACACACAGTAACTTCATACATGGATTGAAATGTATGTTTTTAAATACAAGTTGCAAAAAAAGGACAACAATTAACAAAAGTGTTTCATTGTCAGGATGTAACTTTATATACAATTTATCTTTTAAACTCTGATAATATTACACATGTCAATACTACTACATTGACATTGCAAAGCTCTGAGTGGACATAGAGTAATCAAGGAAAAGGTACATGTATAGATATGTTATTGAATTAAAGAATTGAATGCTGTAATAATGTAAGTCCAGATATCTACAGGAGTATACTGAGAAAAATTAACTGAAGGAGAAATGGAAAAATTTATTTTGTAGATTTCAAACTCAATGAGGCTAAGAATAGAATAGAATAGAATAGAATAGAATAGAATAGAATAGAATAGAATAGAATAGAATG